TGTGTGTAGCCTGTAAACTGCGAACAAAATGTGTAGCCTGTAAACCGCAAACTGCCCAGAGAGTGCTTTAAGTGCTATAGGTATAGAAGGTATATAAAATATACAAGCAGCACACTTAAGGTGGTTCAAGCTGGCAGCCATCACTGCCTCCTGTGGGCAAGGGTTTCACAGACTCAATTAGGTGTTGGGTGAAGAAACCAGGTCTCAGATCTCATGCTAGGCAGCCTTTTAAGACCAGGAAAGCATCAGAGCCCATCAGGGCAGGAGACCACCCTAGCTAGACCCATGAACCCTGGCCAGGTCAGCTGATAATGGGGGATCATGGGAAATGCAGTTCCAAGACATCTGGGGGATGGCGGGTCTATTAGGCCTGGAGCAGCAGCGAGGACTGTATTCTGATGGCCACGCAGCCCACTTGCCCGGGGCGTGGAAGCGAAGATCCTTCTCCTTCACCCCCACCGCCGACTGGAAGGCCTAGTTCAGAAGTTGAAGAGTGATGCAGCATCAGCTCTTGGGGCACCCAGCAGGACATCCCAGGGCATGGAAGACCATCAGTGCTTTTAGCCGCATTTAGTTTCTAGCTGGGGCCTTACAAGAACCTCATCAAGGTACCGTTTCAAAGCGTTCTAATGAGTAAGGACGAAGCTGCTTTGCTGGTGTATTTTGAGGCAGCATTTTATATAGTCACTTTCTTCTACTAATACCACGCCCCGACTACTGGGAGCGGAAACTAATGGGCAACCTGACAAGCGGTAACGCAATGTGTTGTTTTTTTCATGACTGCCATGAGCAACAGCAAGGACTTAATGGCAATAAATGTTGGGAACAAATAGTTTTTTAGAAGTAACTTTCCTGGCTCTGACCCTAATAGTCTGGTTCACAAGCGCTGGGGAGCTCACACAGCAAAACGCCTCCGCTCTGCTGACTTATTCCAGGTCCCACGAGCCCCACTCCACAGTCTGGGGCGACTGGGAAGGGGCTGGAGGCAGGCAGCCGGGCAGCAAGAAATTGCGGGTCTCACAATTTGCTGGTCTTGCCTGACCCCACCTTTTGGAGCCCCATCGGAGGAGGAAGCTCAGCCAGCCTGTGCGCCGCCCCCCCACAAAAGGGCCCAGCAGTGAGCGAGCCACCCTCCTCGTGCTCTGCATTAACCTGTCGTTATTGCCCGCCTTCGATGCTATTCTGTGCAATTCAAGCCATTTGCAGCCGCCCTGAAATGCCAGGTTAATTCTGGTCCCCGTTTCAGCTATTAAAACCCACCCAGGCTGTTAGGCTTCCAGGAGTCCCGTTTTTTGCCTTTCAGGATTGGAACGGTGAGACAATTAGCATCCAATTTGTAAGTTGTTATGGCGCAAAATATCCAGTCAGAAGCTTTTTATCGGATAAGCCTGCTGGGCATAATTTTCCCCAGAAAAGGAGGAACAAAGGCATGAAGCCCTTTTCCTTGCCTCAGTCTCCCTTTTGCAGAGAAGGCAACGGAGACCCTGCAATTACGCCCCCTTTTCCGGGGGAGATAAAAGCCAGAGGGGCTGGCTGGCTTTGCCGTACTGCCAGGGGGAAAGCAGATGGGAGGGAAGGCAAGGGGTTCCTCCCACAAATCCTGGCGCTCGGAGGAGGTTGTGGGT